AAAAAAAATAAAAGGAGGAAATAAAACCCAAAACCCCAACAGGAGGAACATCTCTATACAATGGGCTGGTCTCTCCCTACACTCCTCTGCCTTCCTTCTGCTCAAAGCTCCTTTTCACCCCCAAATCTCAGAGCTGCTCCACGATTCCTGAAGATAAATCCCATTAAGGAGCTCTCCCACCCTCAAATCTCAGAGCTGCTCCACGATTCCTGAAGATAAATCCCATTAATCAGCTCCCCCGTCCCATAACTGACCCTTGGTGCTGCCTCAGCCCTTCCCCAGCTCTGCAGGGACATCCCTGGCAGGGAATTCCAAACCCTGCTCCCAATTCTGGGATTTGGGGATCTGATCACACGGGATGGACCCCAAAAGGATCATCTGGAGGGGCTGGACCCGCAGGAAGGGTCTGGGATCTGCCCAGCACCTTGGGGCAAAAAAAAATCTTTTACTTTGGTTTTTTTGTTTTAGGGTCAGAGGACTTGGTATTTAGTGAAATTGGTATTTTCTGGAATTGGAATCACTGACACTAGAATTTGCTGAAGTTAGTATTTTCTGAAACTGGAATTTAGTGAAATTGGAGTTTCCTGAAGCTTGTATTTTCTGAAATTGGTATTTTGTGAAATCGGTATTTACTGAAATCGGGATTTTCTGAAACTGCTGTTTTCTGAAATTGGAATTTTCTGCCATTGTAATTTTCTGCCATTGAAATTTTCTGCCATTGGAATTTTCTTCCATTGGAATTTTCTGCTGTTGGAATTTTCTGCCATTGGAATTTTCTGCCATTGGAATTTTTTGCCATTGAAATTTTCTGCCATTGGAATTTTCTGCCATTAGAATTTTTTGCCATTGGAATTTTCTGCCGTTGGAATTTTCTGCCATTAGAATTTTCTGCCATAATCAGGAGGGGTTGATTTGGTCAAACACCTGAGCCCAGACCAGCCCAAACTGCCCAAATCTCCCTGGGGCTCCTCAGAGCTCCGGGAGGGTTCCGTGAAGGAAAGGGGAGAATGTCCTAAAAAAGCAGAGATGATATTTCTCTTATGCAGTCAGGCCCAGGTCCAGCAAGGGACTTCAAAAACTAAATTTAAGCTCAGAAGGATTTTCTCCAGCAATTCCCTCATCCCAAGCAGAGCCTGGGGATTGCTGGAGAAAGCCCTGGACTGGTGGCAAATGGTTTGAACACCCCCCACCCCCCCAAAAAAAAACCCCAAACCAAACCCCAGCATCGCTTTTCTTCTTACTCCAGTAAGAAATAATAATAATAATAATAACAATAATAATAATAATAACAATAATTAAGAAGAGAGAAAAGGGGAAACGACTACTGTAAACATCCATGGTTGAAAATGTCTCCCTTTGCAAAGCAAGCATGCTGCTAC